TCTATAGACTGCACCCACAGACAGGACAGACTCGGCACCCTTGACTCTGAAACTGGCGAAGATATACTCCCCACAGCAGTCTCTAGTTCTAATTATTTTTAAGCATGTTAGTTCTTGGTGGTAGTAAAGAGCAGTACCACCACCTCTCTGCATTTGACGACAGTTGTGAATTGCCGAGTAGTTAGGCATGTTAAAGAGTTGAGTATTATCCTCTTTCAACCACGTTTCAGTAAGTATAATAAAAGAGAATTTGTTGTCAATAGTTTCAATCAAGGCACTAACATCATCGAAGTGTTTACCTAGGGATCTAACGTTCAAGTTGATTACAGAGATATTGAGATTATCTGTTAATACATTGTTTACATCATGTGCTGTAAAATATCTGCAATTTTGATCATTGAAGTGATGATTGTCATAGATAGTGGATAAGAGGTTTAGTTCTGGGTCTATACTTGTCTGCATAAAAAGGCTGTTTGCAGGAAAACAAGGTAAGAATGGAAAATTACAAAATAGAAAACAAATAAAAAATTAGATTAAAAATTATAAATTAAAATAAACTTAATGGTAATTTTAAGTAAAAAGAAAAAAAAAAAAAAAAAAAAAAGAGTAAAAAGAAAAAAAAGACAATAATAAAGATGACAATATTATTCTTTTTATTATTTTTTTTTTCTTTTTTAAACTAAAGTTAAAACCTTTTGAAGGGAAAGGCAGAGCTAGAGTACACAAAGGTAGTTATATGAGATTATAACTCACTGTTATGCTTGACTGTTATTGTGTCGTCCCAAGATATTCCTGTGGAAAGTGAAGGTGAAAAGTGTATTGAAATAGTTCATGCTCTCATAAAAAACGAATTGCGTGTCTCTCTAAACAAAACAGACATTATTGCTGCCTACAGAGTAGGCAAAAAGAATCCATCAGGACAAAACCAGCGGAAAATTCGCCCCAAGCTGGCTTCCCAGTCCATGAAATCGCATCTTGTCTGGACAGCTGCATCCCAACGACAGGGAATCTACATCAACGAGTGCTTGACTAGAAAAAGACAGCAACTCCTCTACCGCCTGCGTCAAATCCGTTATCAAAACCCAGATGCGATTCATCAGTGCTTCGTTAGAGATGGCATGATTAAAGTGAGAAAGACTTCAGGAGGTAAAATGTTTACAATTGCTAATGAGGATAACCTCAACACTTTCCTCTCCCAATGTGGTTTGTCTCACCTTATTATCACTCTCAATGAGTCAACATAATTAACCCCCTTGTCACCTAGTGCGGGCTAGGTATCCTAAGTCTCTTTGTTACACTTTTTAAATTAATTTTTAATTTACTTTTTACTAGTCATTTATTGGACTTAATTAATTGAGTGCATTAATATTTCTTTAGTTCTTATTAATTATACGATCATAACTAAACTATTTATAGTTAATAATCATTAGCTTAAATTTGCCTATGTTTATTATTCAACTTTTTTCTTTGATTTCATTTATTACCTAGGTTGCCTAGCCTCGCCATACTCCCTTACTCCATTGTACCCCTGGCTTTGCCTGTGTCTCAAAATGCAAATTATTACTTACAGTGTACCTGAGAGTACTTGTAAGCAATCTACCTCATTTTTCTTTTTTTGTTCATTTTGTGTTTGTTTTGTATAGTCTTGTTTATTTTTTTTCCCCCTTTTATATCAAAATTTTATTTTGTAATTGCCATTCTTGCCTTGTTTTCCTACAACCAGCCTTTTTATGCAGACAAGTATAGACCCAGAACTAAACCTCTTATCCACTATCTATGACAATCATCACTTTAATGATCAAAATTGCAGATATTTTACAGCACATGATGTAAACAATGTATTAACACATAATCACAATATCTCTGTAATCAACTTGAACGTTAGATCTCTAGGTAAACACTTCGATGATGTTAGTGCCTTGATTGAAACTATTGACAACAAATTCTCTTTTATTATACTTACTGAAACGTGGTTAAAAGAGGATACTACTCAACTCTTTAACATGCCTAACTACTCAGCAATTCACAACTGTCGTCAAATTCAGAGAGGTGGTGGTACTGCTCTTTACTACCACCAAGAACTAACATGCTTAAAAGTAATTAGAACTAGAGACTGCTGTGGGGAGTATATCTTCGCCAGTTTCAGAGTCAAGGGTGCTGAGTCTGTCCTGTCTGTGGGTGCAGTCTATAGAATTCCTAACACTGATGTGTCCGAATTCAACTCAAACCTTAGAAATCTAATACTAGATAACAGACTGAACAAAAACCATCTAATTATCGCAGGGGACTTTAATATTGACCTCTGCGAGCCTGAAAACCCTACTGCTGCCAGCTTCCTCAACTGTATGAATTCCTGCTTCCTCATACCCTTAATCACTAGACCTACTAGAATCACTGATAGTACTGCCACGACTCTAGATCACATCTGGACCAACATAACCTCTCCGCTTACTTCAGGTATAATCATCGATAGCACTACAGACCATTACCCCACATTTCTCTTAACTAACATTAACAAACCACCTCTAGAGACAAGGGAGTTAAGCTTTAGGCTGCACAATGAAACTGCTATAGGCAATTTTATAGCTGCTGCTGCTAATGTCAACTGGGAGTCCGAGTTAGGTAACATAGGGGACATCAACCTAGCAGTGCAATCTTTTCTTCAAAAAACTCTCAGCCTTTATAACACCCACTGTCCTATGCTAACGAAACAAGTCACAACCAAAAGGCTAAACAATCCTTGGCTTACAAAGGGAATACTTAAATCCATTAATAAAAAACATGACCTTGAGAAGAAGTATAGGTTAGGAACCGTCTCCAAAGAATTTTCAAAGAATTACTCGTTATTGCTATCTAAAATAATTAGAAGAGCCAAAACTAAATACTACGAAGATAAATTTACCCAAACAAAGGGCAACATTAAAAAAACATGGAGCACAATTTCACAAATATTGGGATCAAAGAAGATTTTAAATAACAAACCAATACTCCTGTCCAATAACGATGGTCAGCTTTCAGCCTCTGATACTGCTATTGAGTTCAATAGGTTCTTCTCTTCCATTGGGTCATCCCTTGCAAATGATATTCCATCTTCCAGTACTGATGTTCAGGACTATCTTACAGGTAACTATCCACAGTCTCTGTACCTAAAGCCTACAAATTCCACTGATGTTAATGAGATAATCCTTTCCCTTAAAACCAAGTCTAGTGCCCTTGAGGAGATACCAACTTTAATTTACAAAAAAGCCTCCAGATCTTTAGCCCCTGCTATTGCATTGCTCTTCAACAAGTCACTTGAACTCCAAACCTTTCCAGATATTCTAAAAAAAGCGAGAGTAACCCCTGTCCACAAATGTGGTGATCTCACAGATGTTAACAACTACAGACCTATATCAATCCTGCCTAACTTGTCAAAAATATTTGAAAAACTAATCTACAAGCAGCTTTACTCTTATCTAGCCAAACACAATATACTTAGCTCTTGTCAATATGGCTTCAGACCCAAAAAAAAGCACTAACGATGCACTTATTAGTATGATTAACTTGATTCATGCAGCTCTTGATAAAAATGAGTTCCCTGTTGGGTTATTTGTGGACCTGTGTAAGGCTTTTGACACTGTCAACCACCAAAACCTTCTTCTTAAATTACATCATTATGGAGTCAGAGGACACTCCCTGCAATACCTCAAATCTTACCTTACTGACAGGCTCCAGTATGTTTCTGTGAATAATTCAATTTCTCCCACCCTACCCATCAACATCGGTGTTCCTCAGGGCAGCATACTTGGCCCTCTCCTCTTTCTCATCTACATTAATGACCTTCCAAATGCCTCCCAACACCTCAAACCAATTCTATTTGCTGACGACACAACCTACATTTACTCCAGTCCTGACCCCCTTGCTCTAAATGTCACAGTGAATACTGAGCTAAATAAAGTCCATCTTTGGCTAACTGCCAACAAACTCACCCTTAACATTGACAAAACTTTCTATATTCTGTTTGGCAATAAATCCTCTAATCAAATAAATCTCAGGATAAACAATACCCAAATTTGTAACAAAATAGATGGCAAATTCCTTGGCGTTCTCATTGACCACAAGCTGAATTTCCAGGGACACATTCTAAATATATAAAAAAAAGTTTCAAAAACTGTTGGCATTCTTTCTAAGATCAGATATTATGTACCTCGCCCTGCCCTGGTGACGCTCTATTACTCCCTCATCTATCCATATCTCAACTATGGTATTTGTGCTTGGGGTTCTACTACCCAAAATCATTTACGTCCTCTAATTACTCAACACAAAGCTGCTATTAGGACAATATCCAACTCTGGCCCCAGACATCACTCGGTACCCCTACTCAAATCTCTGAATATGTTAGATATTAAGTCACTGCACATTCTCTCATGTGTATCTCTCTCAAAAACTTCATTGAAGGTTGTAACAGAACCCATGAGCACCACACCAGAAACAAATACCGTTTTGATATTCCAAGAGTACGACTTAATCAAACTAGAAATGCTCTACAAATCAAGGGACCCAGAATGTGGAATGACCTTCCCAATCATGTTAAAGACTGTACCTCTCTCAACCAGTTTAAGATAAAAACTAAGCACTACCTAATAAATTCCCTGTAACCTACCTTACCCCTATATTGTCAACCCATGTCTGTTTTTTTAAACAACGCTGTTTGTCGACCTAATTGTATTTGTGCTGCTTTTTCTGCCATGTTCCCCCCCTTTTTTATTTTTATTTTTATTTGTTCTCAACACATTTTATACTTTAATCTCAATTAGTATTAAGTTTTAGTCTTTAATGTTTTTCCTGCCCGAAACGCTTTGCGTAATAGTGGCTTTAGGCATTGTATGTACTAGCTCTATCTATAAATCTATCAATTTTTGTATAACCTCTTGTATGTATGTACTTTACCTGAATAAACATTTATTTATTTATTTATATTTATATAATCAACCATTTGGATGGTAAATAAAAAATAACCATTAACCTCGACCATTTATTGCTCTGTTAACAGCAACATTTCACTAACCCTAGACCAGAGACATGACAACTTGGAAGGCCAACTTTCAGGCTACAACACCTGTCAAAATCTGCCTTACTGATACAACTTATGAAATGAAACATGATATTCTGATAATGAATGATGACAGTGACAAACTAAAACAAAACATTCATAACAATAATGTATTTTGGCAGTTGTGTGAACATTTTTTCTCTTTTGGATATTCTGTTGCATAGACTAATGCAATAATACACAAGGACAACTGGACCAGTGATACAGTTGTGACTGTGTTCCCCATCCATGTGTGCACCACATTTGTACACTATCCAAGTTTCTCATTTTATCTACAACAAATGAGGAATATGTTGATTCTAATTTTACAATAATAAAATACTTTCATGCCTACCACCAACTATTCACATAGTTTTTAATTAGGACGAGTTTAGAGCCAACTAACTTTAAGTAGGTTTCCTAATACAATGTGGTACCCTTGGTCATGCCCCAACCAGCTTCATCTATCAATAAAAACGAAAACAAAATATTACAGGAACTGTTTATTTTTTAATTAGACACAGAACTTAAAATCATACATAGAACACAGGTTACCAAAACACGCACGAGTCACATACAGCTTGACAGAATTAGGTAGGATGTAAATGGGAGAGGACAGTAGCTGCAGATCATGTTGATTTTGAGCTATATGGGCATATACATATGAATTATATGGAGGGCATGACCAAGTGATTCAACAGTAGTTGGGCTAGATATCACCAGTGAATCAACTATCAAAGAAAATTATTTTGAATATCACATTTTTGTACATAATTAAGAGTTAGTTGATATTGGTAGTGAACAACTAGCCAAGGCTTTGTCTAATTAATTACTTGTACAGTACTAATGTCCACATTATCCACAAGCATAACTAACTACTGTTAGGGTTTTCTCATTGGACCAGTAGAAGTACAATATTCTAGAATTTTTAATTATGGAGCATGGTGATTCTGGCAAAAAAAAAAAAAAATTGGGAACTAAGTTTACTTGGGATTTGATTCTAATTTGCTGGATATAACTGGGGAGAGTACATTTGTGCCTTAACAGTAAGTATCTGTGTCTTAGGTGATAATGATGGCAATGAACTAGATGCTATAGCAAATCCCAGTTCTACTGCATTGTGAGACTTGAATCATTGGCAGCACTCTGTGACTGTCACAACTACTGCCTTGATGTGAATTGTCACTATCAACAATCGCCCCAAACTCTCATCATCAGTCACTATAATCTGTCTTTCATTCACAAATACACAACAGTTTAGTCAGATACTGTTTAATGTTAACATATATTTTCACTGTACAGTATTATGTACAGTAATTTGGTTTAACATAACTGTAGAATTATATACAGTCACACTTCAAAAAATACAAATTTACTGTAAAAAATACTATCATACTTTAAGAAGTTAACCTTTAGTAAATAAAGTACTATCACCCATTAACAAGCACACATATACTGTGGCATGTATATAAAAACCCATTAACAAGTTTACATGTACTGTCACTCATTTAACAAATTTACACATACTGTGGCATGTGCTATTACCCATTTAAAAAGTACACATTTACTATCACCCATTTAACTAGTACTTGTTGAATGGGTGATGATATATGTGTAATTGTTAAATTACCTAAGTAATTTAGGTAATTTCACAATTACACATGTACTGTACCATTTTCCCCTCAACAAGTACATAACACATGTACTATCACCATTTACCAATTGTATATGCACTATGACGTACCATCACACTTCAACAAGTAAACTGTAGGATGGCAAGTATCATAAAATCACACCTCAGCAAGTACATGCTTACCATGGCAAGTACTATCACACTTTAGCAGGAAAACCTGAACAACACAAGCAGTACTGTACTATCACAAGCAGTACTCTACTACCACAAGTTGGTCTGCACTGTGGTAGGAACTGTCACCTCTCAAGAAGCATAGTATGACGTGTATAAGAACACTCATGAATATCAATGCCCATGGGAAATAAATGTTGAACCTGCCCTGAATGTCAGCACATGCAGAACTTAAAATGTATTTAAAGTGAATAACTAAAAAATATTCAGTATATACTTTATACTTTACTATGTATATACTATATATTAAGTTTCAAAAATTTATTGACTGACATTTTATTTTTTCAATTTGAATTTACTTAGTATTTACTGTATTGTTCCGCTATGTCAGCATTCACTATAAAGTCATTTAATCTTGACATATTCAGGTAGAAATAAGGTGATACCTGGAGTCTTTTATTTAAAAAATACTTGTACTTCTTGTGCTGAGTCCTGCAACTATGACATCAGTAGGTTGTGGGCAGCTCTACCACAAGAAATTGGTCCACGGTGGACAAGTAAACATGAGAGCTTTACATCTCGAGTGATTCAGTTATATCTAGGTTTGCGACGATATTGTACCAGTCAGATCTTGTGATGAGGCTACTGGTATTACATCAAGAGACTGTAATATACATTTACACAAGTAAATTAAATTTTGCCACATCTACAGTGTGGTCTAAATCTATACAATAAGTTTGTCATTTAGTGAGCGACAGTATAAAAACTTAGTGTAACATATCATTGCTCAGTAACCAAATATAATTTTAACTGTTAGACTTTTACTATGGTTTTGTGTTAATCTAATTCACATGGTTGTGTAATAGTACTTTATAGTCATCTTATTACATACTATAGTTGTTTTCTGTATAGAGGAGTCATGTTCATAAACAGTTGTAGAATTAGTAGTCTGAGGACAGTAATTAGTACCACTGTGGACATGTCTTCGGGGGGCTTGTTCCACAATACTATACATTTTGGCTTAAACAATGACAAAATTCCAAAATAGTGATGCTCCATTAGGTAGATTTAGGTAGAAAACTGTATAAAAAAATATAGCCTATTCTCAGACTCACATGCTGAGCATATAACAACACAAGTGAAGCACGGTGATATGCATCCTTTGCCAGATTTTTATGTTTGTTAAATAATCTCAACCTATCCTCATCCACGAACATCCAAAAACGGCAAAAGTTAACAATAACATTACCTATATTTATTGGGTTGTGCCCAAGACGAGTTACATTATATACATTGGCAGCCATACATGCCCAAGCTACCCATAACAGTTTATACGTTAATGAGAATGAGTGAAATTTTCTTTTACAATAAATTAATAAAGATTTTAATATTTCAACACTTAAAATCTTAGTCTGCTTTTTCTAGTACAGTATTTGAAAAAACTTTCAAAACCATTTTAACTTATCCTCATTTAACATATTTATAATAACCTCACATATTTGTCTTCATAGTGGAATGTCAAAAATGTAACCAGTTAGGTAACTGAGAAATGTCCCTTCAAATATATAACAATAAGATGCAACTCATGTACTATACTGTACTGACAGGTTAATTTGTATGTTTGTGATGCACTACTAACAACGAAATAAGTATCTTTATGATACAGTTAAGATCTTTCAATTTAGATTTTCTACCAGAGATATTATATATCTTATCTTTGGTGAGATTAAGTTACTCATACCCTTTCTGTCCTCTAGAAGGCAACCCATTGTGTGTTGAACACTCAGTGGTCAGTGAGTACCTGAGTGTTTTACACTCAAAATAATTGGTTACCTTGAAGATTCATTACTGATCATAACATGAATGACCGTCTGTAAGATCAATATTTTAAATCTCTGCTGATATAAGAATTACATATTTCAACCCACAATGATAGGCAATATTTGAGGATAAGTGTAACAAACATGCTATAAATGTGCCACCTATGAAATTGGGGACCTGGGCGAGCTGGGGCCTTGCCAAACCCACTACACCTGTGACGGACGGAATTACAGTCAGTGTAGCTGTGTAACACATGTAACACTTAATTAGATCTCCTAAAGGCTACACATAGAGGAAAGGTGTAGTAACTTCTGCACCTCACCCTATGCAACACTGAACAACATATATGAGAAAGTATGCACATTGGATGTACAAGATGCACAATACAGTAAGGTACCTTAAGAAATCCTTGGACAGCACATGTCCATCTTATGGTCATCATGGCCATCTTTGTTTGCCTAAAAGCCTTTGCAAAACCAAAATGTAACCTTCTCTCATACCAAAGAGGAATACTGTACTGTCTATAGTAAATATATGCCAAAAAATATAACATTCCTTTGAACTCTTATTAATCACAATTTAAACTTTGCCCTGTAACTTTTTTATTTAAGAGGTAAATCTAGTTTAATTTTATTATTTAATCTATGATTTATAAATATTGTAATGCCCAAGAAGAGTGGATTATTCATGATGTTTTCCATGTTTTGCAAGTATAAAGCAACATTTAAGATGAATATTGCACAAGCAGTATGAATATATCACTGTGTATCACAATCAAAGTTGGTACCACCCTCCCACTCTCCTTCCTTTTACAAAAATTATTTAAATTGCAGCAGACTTAGTATTTTACCATATCATTAATCCCAGACCACAACCCATCCTCCTGTTTTCATAGTACTTTTTGTAATTATGTGGACCATCATACATACATAGACATAATGGACAATTAGACAGTAGGATTTAATACTACAGGTATTCACTTTATAGTCCAAACAAAAATAAAGATACAAACCAAACTTGAATATACCAAGGCCAAGTATAGTATATATATATATATGTACTATGAGAAAATCCGTACGTCATGATGAGGATTCGACCTATGCTCTGTGTATTCCCAAGCACACGCCTTAGACAACTAGGCCACGACATGGTCAAAAGGATTGCAACCTGTGTATTGAAAGAGGAGCACCAGAGGTAGAATTTCCTGGACGACAGAACCAGAGAGCATGGGGGGATAGTGTGAAACCCTGGTGCAGCTTCAGTGGAAGCCTCAGGAACCCTCATGGATTCAGTAGGATCCCAAGTTGCAATCCTTTTGACCATGTCATGGCCTAGTTGTCTAAGGTGTGTGCTTGGGAATACCCAGAGCAGAAGTTTGAAGCCTCATCAAGGATCCAATGGATTTTCTCAATGATACATCATGTTACTCCGATTTCTCAGTGTATGTATGTACTATATTAGGCCTCAGTTAGTGTGTATTACTCCTAGAAATGTTAGGTTAAGTTTTCTTTGCAACATCAGTACAAAAACTTTTCCAGTTTGCCCAAATTAAATAGTCATGATTTCTATTTTCTAATTGCCTTTTACGCCAACACGCTGGTCCTTTTACGAAGGTTCTTATCATTACTATAAGTACCACCTAAACAGAAGAATAGACTGCAGACCAGTAATGTTACTGCTCTCAGTACATTCTAATGTGTAAAACAACCAAAGATACATAATTTATTTTTATTTTTTAAATTCACCCATAAGCAGGAGTCACTACGGTATAAAGGCAGTGCATTGCAATCACATTTGAATAAGTTGGAGTCTGCATGCCTACTAGAGCAGTGTGGTCCTATTAGTTATATACTGTACTGAGAGCTGGTTGCTATCTTCTACATGGGCAGCATTAACTAAACCTAATGGGAAGGAAGCAACTGCAGTCTCTGAAAATGTTATGGTTAGACAAAACTGCTTTACATGCAAATTTATAGCTGAAATTTTAGTCTTGAATAATTGAAATTTTATTTAGGATCACCTTGCTAGTTTACTAGTGATTTTAAGGTGATGTCAAAGCTATTTATTACTTTTTGGGGGTGGGGGGAGGGGGAAGAAGTAACCTTGCAAGCACTAGACATCTAACATCTCGAGCAAGTTCCAGCACCCACATTCATTTGGGTAATACTCTATTTTGATAGTGATAAATACATTAATATGAATAGCCTCATCTATTGCACAGTGATGCAGTTACACAGATATCTATGGTTTAGTGATGTAGACACAGCAAATAGCCTAGTATAGTGAACCAACTGTCTATGTACAGTATGATGTGCTCGTTACACTCACAAGGTGGTTGTGTCATCTCTACCTGTTTTGTAACATGCAACATGAAAGCTCAACAGTAGTGTCTACAATATTAAAAGAAACACATAATACCAAATTAAACATTCTTACCTAATGGGAGAATAATGAAGAAGAATACTAGAATGTGATGCAGGAAGAATGCAAAGCTACTGTATAATAAATAATACATGTACTACAAACTTAACAATGTAGCTAAATATTACATTCTTTATCTAGTTTACGCATTTAAAGCACTTTATGTATAGAATTTTATGTTTTAAATGATGTGATTGAAAATATAAATAAATAATAAATATCTATATGTTGAATATTATGCTGCCAGGTTAACATCATAAAAGAAGTCTCATTTACATACATATTCCACAATGCAAGCACACCTGCATTATGAACTGAAAACAATATATAACAGGAACTTACATCCACAAAATTGAACAAATCTCCATGATAGAAATAAGCAGTACAGATTAAGGTAGGTTACTTGTATAAATTATTACAAAAATTGTTTGTCAGTCCAATATTAACATAGATTACTGTCATGACAGCTGCCCTCTTGAGTATTTTTATATGCAACAGCCCTAATGAAAAATTAAATTAAATTAAAAAAGTACCAGTTTGGTTTTAAACTAAGATTCAGAAATAAAAATACATAGTGGACCATTTAGTAGCACAGTTGAATAATGGCTTTTGTAGGATAAGTATGCACTATATTTGTAACTGAAAAATAAGTAATCTTCAGTAATCTTTTACTGAAGATTAAATATTACCATAATTTTGAAGTGCATCTATCAGCACCACTTATTGAGCTATAAGCCTAAAGCCAATTTTGATGTTATAAATGTTAAATTGATAGATGTTAGATGATGTTAAATTTATAGAGCAAATTTAATAAAAAAACTGTTTATGACACAATTTTCAGGCAATAATGTTACTTGCTGACTGTGGTTTGGAATGTTTTTAACCCTTTCACTGCTCTAATCACTATCTACGATTCCCTCATGTGTTCATATCGCTATATGCAATTGTTTCTTATGGATTTTCAATACTTTTTCTACACGATTCTGGATGTAAGACTTAAAGCTTAGCAGTTAAAGAGTTAAATTACCATTTATACATGCAGCAATACCAAATATTAACCTGTGAAATGTGCAGCTATTCAAAAGTATCACATCAAGGTGTGCATGATTAAAAATAGTTAACAACTGAAATGGGAAAAAAATTGCATATGGTGATTGAAGCCATGTAAGGGTTAACAAAATTGGAGCAATGTAAGAGTTAATTATACTGCTCTTCAACACTTGCAGTGATGACCAGTCAGGTATGGCAGGGAGAAGATGCTTTATGCAAGTTATTGTATAAATAAATGGTAGTACATTCTGTATTGCTTCTGTCATAATGAAAATAAATGGTGTGAGTCAATTTGACTCAGCAGCACATGTGCAACTAAACTTGTAATATGATTTCAGGTATGTAATTGTAGCCATTTACATACATGTGTCTATACCCCTAGTTTAATGACAAATGAAGGAAGACACCCACAAAATATTAAACACAATGTCACCATGAGAGCAGGAAAATAGGAAGACAAATGTCAAACACTATTTGATTTCTTGGATTCATAGTTCAGTTTATGTTAGCATTATAATAGTGCTCATAGTATGGGCCACTAGATATGACAGGGAAACTTGATGGGTTACATGTGTCATAACTTGTCTTTTGTATAGCACATCATACTTTGACAGTGTAACAAATAGTTACTTTCTGGGCAAATAAAAAAGAGATATTTTCACATGGAACACGAACACCTGATAGCTTAAGGATTTCCAATGCTAAAGTCAACCTTGCGTGTACTCTGCATCTGGGTTGGACATATATATTTGCTCGGATGACTGTAGAGTTGATGGTAATAATGTATCAGGACATCACAACTTTCACATTGAATTAGAAACAAACAACACACATTTTTATTGATTTCTCTTACTTAAGCAGTTGTACTGTTACACAGGCCTATGCCTTTGAGATACAAAGAAAGTGAATATTTACAATTTATTAACATATTTTTCTAGCAGTGACTGTATTGAGACCCACAACTGGATTGGTGCTTGTCCTGAGTCAACTGCCAACAAGTGGGGCGAGATCAGCAAACATGAGCCTTGGATCCTATCTTGGTACAACTCCATTTCTTAAGAAAAATTTTGAATTTGTTAAATATACTGTCCATTGTTCAAATTCACTGACCATGTCAGCTGATTGCATTCAGCAGCAACATCACCAATCATGTTGCTCGGTGGGAGTAGCATTGACAATAGTTATATACACAGGATCAAAACTCACAATAGGTTCAAATTCTCCTAATGATCTATGTAATTTATTGTTTCTTGGAACTGAACACAATTGCCAACAATACCTGAGTGTATGGCAACATGGCAGGCATTCGTTTTGGAGTATTGCAACTTTCTTCCTGGGTTCCTTTTCCTGCTAACATCATTCCACATAGAGCTTTTCCAGGCAGCACCAGTCAAAGTGTTGACCTCACAGACTGGACCACTTATGGTCAAGTCATGGAAAGATGAAAAGCTCTTGACTTAGCAACCACTACTTAAACACCAATTTTAACTTGGAAGACATAAAACCAAGATAACATTTTGGTCTCTACTGGACCCTGTAACCACCTGGCAAAGAATTATAAATTCTGTACAAATTTGTTTTTTCAATTTTGCAAAACACCATTTATGTGCAATTCCAACTTTCACTTTCCTGCCACAATCAATGTTCTACTATTGTAATCAATGTTTGCCATATATGTTTAATTATGATATAAGCTTAGTTGCCATTCACCGCATGTGTGACTCTAACATCTCAACAAAGAGCTTGTTCATGGGCACACTACCCTGGTGACGTACAGAGAGCCAGTACCTTCGAAGAGCTGCATCTGCTGCTCTTAATGAGGGCAAACATAGTAGCAATGACTGCATCTGTACAACTGCATCCCGTAGTCTGAAACATAAATGAGACTTAAAACTCACAATACAGTATCTTTTTCTAGCCATAAATTAACAAAATGTTCAGCAAAACTAACACTGAATTTCAGATAACATTAACTGAAATTAATGGGTACTGTGCACCCATTTAATGTGACAACCCTGTGGTGTACACACAAAAATTATTCACCCAATTTTTTTTCTTTCTAATATTGTTAAAATGCATTTTTTAATCACAGGAAACTTAAAAAAAAATATATGTGACTTAGTTTGGTTGTGATGCAGTAAGGAAGTTTCACAAATCACAGGTGCTGAATAGTCTCCCAGCGGCACCTGGCCTGGTGGCAGCCATGGTAATTACCAAAGTAATTATTTAAGAGCAGTTACAGGATGAGAGCTATGCTCCTGGTGTCCCAACTTCCCAGCACTCTTTGTCACATAACATTTTGAAACTACTGATAGTTTTGGCCTCCACGACTTTCTCACTGAACATGTTCCAACCGTCTACCACTGTTTGTGAAAGTGAATTTTCTTATATTTCTACAGCAGCTTTAAGTTAAGTTAGCTTAAATCTATTACCTCTTGTTCTTGAAGTTCCAGGTATCAAGATTTCTTCTCTCTTATCAGTTCAGTCAATTCTATGGTGGTGTTGATGTCTAGTGAAGCAATAATTCCTTTGGGCTGTGTAGGTTTGATTATTTCTAGAAAATCTGCTGATGATTGTAGACTATAGTTGCTAGGAGTGTATGGAGTTAGGAGTTCATTGAGTCTTTCTGCCAGGTGGTAGGTTGGAGTTGGTATTTGGCTGATTATTTGCTGTCTTCTAACTTATGGATGACATCCACAAGTTAGAAGACAACAAAAATGTAATCACCACTGGCACACTTCAGGCTGAACTACTAACAAAGGCGGGGAAAAAACAAGAAACATATTCATAAAAAATCTTATTCCCACGGCTCAGAGAAGCAGCAAAACAAAGGAGAAATCTGGAAGGTGTAACAATAAGAAAAGTCGACAAGACAACAGCATATGTGTTGAGTCCTATCCAAGAATATATGAACAAAACCAGCGTCATCCTCCGTGATGTCACTAAATTTCAACGAATCATGAGGAACCCGTTGGAAGACCTTAATCACTGTGCTGCACCGGCCAAGAAATCTTAATTTGCCCATTACTGCTCCAACCAAGAAAACACTTTTATTTTTTCATACACAGTTGAAGGGCACTCACGGTAGATTGAGTATGAAATGGACTCCAGGGACCTCCAGTGAGAAGCAGCCATCTTGAAAAAAATCCCAGATTTCCTTAGGGCTGCTGGCAGAATCAGTTATGAATGAGCAACCAAGGGTGGCACACGCACTTCTAGCTCCCAACCCCCTGTGGGATGTGGTGTTGAAAGATCACTCTCCATCAGTGAAATTCAGACCTTATTGTTTGAATAACATAAGGGTCATAATATTGATGAAGCTAGGCACAATAAGGACCTAGCACAAGGGTTGGATGCAAGTGCTACAGCACCGATGAGGATGATACAACGAGTGTATTCAGTTGTAACTGAGCGCCACCTATACTCACTCGTGTATCTCCAATTTTTTATAGATACATAAATGAATCGTTTTATGGGTTCAGTGATGATGCATCTGATACAAATAGCATAGATGAACACTGTTAGCAGCTTCTATGGTGGTGTTTTCCATAGATCTTTTCAAGGATAGCTGAATCTCTACCAGAATACCTGAATTTCTTCCAGAATACCTTACAAAGTGATCTTTTCAAGACTACCTTACAAATTGATCTTTTCCTATAATCTTTTCAAGACTACCTTTCACTAAAACAGTTGGTATACTCTCCAAAATCAGATATTATGTAGCTAACTCTGCTCTCATCTCACTATATTATGCACTAATCTATCCCTATCTTAATTATGGTATCTATGTACGGGGTTCAACCACTGCAAACCACCTCAAGTCCATCATCACCCAGCAAAAATCTGCTATCAGAATAATAACAAATTTCAGACAACACTCGGCCTCCTTGTTTAAATCCCTAAACAAGCTAAACATACTCACTCCACACATTCTCTCGTGTCAACTACACTTACAAAACCTTGTTTTTAAATGCAAATCCTGCTCTGAAACTCTCCCTGGACAGATGTAATACGACCCATTATCACCACACCAGAAATAAATATCTTTGATATCCCCAGAATCAAGCTTAATCTGTGTAAACACTGTAAACACTCTATGCAAATAAAGGGACCTAGTCTATGGAACTCACTCCCTAATGAATTGAAAAGCTGTCAAACAGCTTTTGCATCATTCAAAAACAAAACTAAAAAGTACCTAATTTCATGTGCAGGCGATGATAACGTGGCTAAAGTATGTTGACCAGACCACACTAAAAGGTGAAGGGACAACGACGTTTCGGTCTATCCTGGACCATTCTCAAATCAATTGATTGACTTGAGAATGGTCCAGGACGGACCGAAACGTCGTCATCCCTTCACCTTCTAGTGTGTGGTCTACCTAATTTCATCTTCATAGTTTCCTACCTTGTTGCTTTAAATTGCACTGTATCTCGTGCTACCCAATCTTTATGTACCTAATCCAAACGACTTTACCATTGTGATCATCGCTGTCTTCTTATATGTGCTATCAATTTGCTGTATGGTGTATATTAATCTTTGTTTACATTACCAATCAAGCTGTCAATGCAATCAATCAGAGCTACCAATGTGCTTTAATATACCTACTAATCTCTCTCATCTCATTTTTTTCTTGTAATGTATCTGTTATCATTTTATTAATTCTGCTAGAATTTACATACTTAAAATTATCTGTTTGATTAACCCTCAAACTGCTAGGGGGCCCAAATGGAATTCACACCCACAGGCGCAACAAAAAAAAAATCCAAAAAATTCTTTCGTCTTATAGAAGTGTTCATTTTTGTTCCCTGATCACGGAAAAAATAACCAAAAAATCGTAGGTGGCATATTTTAGCCACAATAGGGTAGGGAAGTGTGGCAAAAAAGGGACGTTGGCAGAGCCTTCGCCAGACGAGGTTTACTCCGCCCGAGCTGTCAGACGTCAGTTGCCACAAATATATTATTACCTAATTATTTCAATGTCTCTGATTGATTTTGTCTTAGTTTTTTTGCAGTAATATTATTCCATACAGTGAATTGTGGTATTTATATTATAAAATGTGTGAACCATCGCTGTACTCAAAATTATGGTGTGCATATTAGTGATTCAATTATTATGTTCATAAAACAATAAACAAATAGTTTTGCTGTTGTTACAGTATATATACAGGTTATATATAAGTACAGTATCTACATGTTTTGTTCACCATAACGAACTACTAAGTTGGTCTTGTGAGTCAAAAAACAACGAGGAGTGACCGCCAAACACCAGCAAGCCACTCGCTGCCACTCCCTCCCTCAACACCACCTCACTCACCCACATTCTCCTCCCACAATACTGTTTTTGCATTTATTCACTATACACAGACGTTATATATACGTAATTACATGTTTTGTTCACCATAACTGTACATCTAAGCTTGTATGGTGAGTAAAGGCACAAAGACGTAGCTACTCACACAGTCAGCTGATAGGCGGCCGCCCTCAAGGCCAGACGCACTAATATTTCTCCTCCAACAATATTGTTTGTGGTGTTATTACGCTATATATACACACATTATATATAAGTATCTACCTGTTTTATTCACCATACCTGTACAAATAAGCTGGTATGGTGCCCAAAGACCATAGTGGCCATCAGTAAACAACATGCCAAGTCGTGCAGACGACGCTCCTCCCTCACCAAAATGGCGGCTCCCAACCTACTCCTCTCGCTGTTATCTCACACTATACACACGTTATATATAAGTATCTACATTTGTGTTCACCATATAGCGAACCACTAAGCTGGTATGGTGAATGCAGTCAATAAATGGTGGCCACACACAGTCAGAAGACGACGCCACAACCCTCCCTCCACAGCCTTACTCCTCCCTCCATGGAGCACAGCGCTAAATATCACCACAATCCTGCTATTATCAGAATCCTGGTCAGTTTTATCACAGTCAGGGGGCTTCAGTAATACTATCACTGCTAAATAATAGCATGAACAAGTATATTATGGCATTTGTAGGCGATGCTGTGGTAACAAGCTGAACAGCGGGGCTGTGAGCTCGTGCTGCGTGCGCCAGCCTTGGTGGCTTGCTCAATACTGACACTATAACACCCAAGAATGTTGGCCTGGATTTTTTTCTAGGTGGCATCTGGCAACTATCGGTCGTGGCTGTACTATAGCTGCCCCTATCCCAGGCGGGGCGTTTAAATTATAGCGCTAGACACGAAATCATATATAAATGATGTGCGCTGTTTCGGTTTTGTCACTGATATCATTTATATATGATATGCGCGGTTTGAAGGTTAAGGACCTGCCCGAAACGCTGTGTGTACTAGTGGCTTTACAAGATTGTAAATACCATGCTATGTATCCTCACAAACCCAATGTACCTTTTTGTATATAAATAAATAAATAAATAGGGTGGATGATGTATGATTAATACAACTTTATAAAAAGGTTGATGAATAAACAAAATGCTATTGAAGCATAAAGATAGAGAGATACAACTAGGTTATTCATAGGACATAATGAAGACTGACCTGATAGTAGCAACAGCGTCATGCAAGGCCTGAAGGATGTTTTGCCTGAGGCGGTGGAGGGCCTGATTGTCCTGAAGTCGTACATCTGAATTAGTCAGCACCAAGGCTTTGAGGAGAAGGAATTCCTCCCTGTTAATTCCACATTGCTCAAGTCGCTCCACGACACCCAAAACCTGGATGACACAAAGAATGTAATACAGTATGTGGATTTTGTACAGTTTGAAATGTATTCCTCAGTTGCTCTTCAAACTTATCTCTGTTACCACAAAGAAAAAGCCCAACACTCATTCTTTCTCTCAGCCAGTCAGCCAGCTGCTACATTCAAGAGCTCCAGGAAAACTCAATTACCTAAGTATTGTAGAATAGTTTGATGACTGAGTGGTGTTCCAGGCAACATAACAGTACAGGGAATTTAAAAAATAGCCGAGATAAAACAAATATGCTAAAGTGAGTGAAAATTTGGATTAGTAAAAATCCATGATGATGCCTTTCTAGATTACCCTTGAGGAGACCATCAAGGAATGAGAGAGGAATTGCAAAACACTTCCTGTAGGGAGCTGATAGAGGAATATGGCATGGAAACATTATGGGGAAAATTTCAAGAAAGTCATCTCTGAAGTCATTCAAAGATATGTACCAGAAAGGAGAAAGAAAAAGAAAGTTAGCTACATGGATGGCAAAGGTAATAAATGCAGGCGATGAGTCACAATAACGTGGCTAAAGTATGTTGACTAAACCACACACTAGAAGGTGAAGGGACGACGATATTTCAGTTTGTCCTGGACCATTCTCAAGTTGATTGTGATGAGGAAGTAGAGACAGGCAATAAATAGGTAAGAGAGAGGTGAAGAACAAAGTAATGTGTAGTAAAGGGGATAGTAGTAGGAATAAGAACTGCAGAGGGCCTATTGACCCATACAAGGCAGCTCCTATTATAACCACCGAATGAGAAGGAGATAGTAATAGGAATAAGAAAAGGATAGGAAGGGAACGTAGGAGAAGACAATGAACAGAAAAAAGAGAGAAGAGAGAAAGAAAAGGAAAGAGAAAGAAAGATAAATGGGAGGGTAAGCTTACGTTAGGTCACGTTTGTTAGAACGTTCTAACGAACGAGTGTGTACAGTACACCCGGCTCACCTGGCCTGCCTCGCCGCCCTGGGTCAACACCATTAGAGTCACCACCACCATGTATGTCCCCTGATGCAAGTTTATTCTGTGATAGTACTTGTGATGAATCTTTCTCGGGCTTCAGTGACATAGGCTCCAATACGAGTAGTGTTGATGAGACCTGAGTACGAGTAGCGAGAGTGTTACTAGGCAGGGTTTTGCTGCCCCAGCAACACGTCGCAGCAAGCGGCAGCGTGTCACACAGCTAGAGGACAATGACGACAGTGGCCCCTCTACATCAGGTGTTCGTGGTAGGCCTACAATACGCAGATCAGTCTCATCTCCTATCATACCCCCCACACGCAGCTCCAGCACCAGACGACGGAGCCATGTTTTTGGGGCTCGTGGTGGTGTTAGCCATAGTGTTGGCATCAAAATCAAACCCCCGGGTGTACTTGTATGGGAAGATTGTGCCACATTTGTTCCACAAATACCAACGTTTGATGGTACCAATGTTGGTGTAACACCATTATTCCATATACAGGTGAGGATATGGCAGAAATAAACAATTTCCTGGCATATTTTGATAATGAATTCATGACCCATCTTGTGACTGAGACAAACAGATATGCTCACAGCCTCATGGATGCCGGCATTTTACCTGCCTCTCACCTGACACGATGGAAGGACAGTGACATGAGAGGCAAGTTCCGTGACTATTTTGTACCTGGACAGAATGTGGTGATCGACGAATCACTTGTACTGTTCAAGGGGCGACTGGCATTCAAGCAGTACATCCCATCAAAGCGCCACCGATTTGGACTAAAGTTTTTCATGCTGTGCGACTGAAACTGGTATCGTCATGGACATGATACTGTATTTAGGTACAGACATCAACATACCAGCTCAAGATGAACACGGGTTCTCTGGCAGTGTTGTCAAAACCCTGATGGAACCGTTGCTGAACAAGGGGCATTTACTGTTCACCGACAACTACTATACCAGTCCCTTGTTGACAAGATACCTCCTTGCTCACAACACCAGCATATGTGGCACTGTGAAGGCCCACAGGAAGGAAATGCCAGTGTTTGGCATAGGTATTGCAGTGGGTGATTGCCAGCTGTGCAAGTGTGACAATATGCTCTCAGTGCGGTGGAGGGACAGACACAGGGTGAATATGCTGACTACAATTCACACCGGTACCATGTTGGACAGTGGCAAAATCCACTTTCAAACGCACTTCCCCATAAATAAGTCAGATTGTGTTATAGATTACAACGTGAACATGCGCCTAGTAGATAATTGTGACATGATTCTCGGTGCCGTCGAGTGCGTGCGGAAGTCTGTGAAGTGAACGAAAAAGTTCTTTTTCCACCTAATAGATGTTGCAGTGCTCAACTGCTTCAATATGTATCTGGTAAAATCAGGTAGGAAACTGCCAATACGGACATTCAGTGTTGCTGTTGTGTCACAACTGCTCATAAAGTATGGCAAGGAGGGCTCTGTTGTACTGCATGGGGTGCCAGCAACAATGCCACACGCAGTTCCAGACAGGCTGAGGGGTAACGAGATGTTCGGTGTCCACATGCTCGAGTATATGCCAGGCACAGCATCACGTGAAATGGGTAAACGTGCCTGTGTAGTATGCAAGAACGCTACCCGACGAGAACAAAAGCGAATTTGCATCAACACCTGATGCGTTGAGTGCAAGGTTCCACTATGCCCCATTGGCTGTTTTGCAGCATATCACATACTTGCAGAGTTCTGAGTGTGTTGATGGTGTGTGTATATAGTGTGTGATACTGTACAGTGGGTAAATAAATTGTATATATACATAAATGAGCATGATACATTGGAAATATGTGCAAGATATGTGAACACATTTGTGATGTACGTAACACAGTGTCTTCGGACAGTACAGAAGTTCTACTGCCATAATATAGTGTACATGTTCATTATACATAGAATTGGCAGAAAAAACAAAACAAATACATCTGGAACCATGTGCCAAAAATGAACAAAAATATATTTGTGGCAACTCGCGCATCTTGAACCAGGTGCACTACTGCCCCAGGGGAGCGTACGCCACAGGTAACCTGTGATTAATGATGTCACGCACCATTTTACGGACCTCATTGCGGCCAAAGTACAGTAAGTACAATTTTTAGTTTATTTTCACATTTCTGTAATCAACAGAAGGGTTTTTTAACACATTAAAAAAAATTATGAGAATTTATTTCCTGTGCACAGGGATGGGGGTGCTGTATTTGGAAGGTGAGCAGCACAGTGGTTAAGGGTAAAATATTATCACACTGGAAATACAAAATTTCACATTTATATAGTTACATTATAGTACTAACCTGAGTGAAGAGCTCTGTGGCGTTGCATTCTCTCGCTTGCTTCTCATCTAGGGTGAAATCGGGAGCGAAGTGAAGTGTGTGGCCGTGAGCGGGCATGGAGCGATAAGCTAGTCCTAGGGTTAGGATCTCTCCCCATGTGCTTTGAAGCAGTCGCATCTGGTCATTCAATGCTAGCTCTGTGAATCCTGTAGACATCAGTAAGGAATACTTTTATGTTCCTTGTCAAGTACATAAAAATCTGCAGCTTCTACTATTTAACCTTCAAATCACCATTAATAATAATAATAATAATTTATTTAGGCAAAAGTACATACATACATACATACATACATACATAAATAAGAGACAAGAACAGCGGAGGACTGCTAGGCAAGACAATGCCTAAAGACATCAATACGCAGAGCATTTTGGGCATAATGTGGAAAAAAATCTGGTGACTAATATACAAGCTTAATAATAAAAATTAATTGTGTCAGGGGACAGGCAGCCAGTTTATACAGACAGTACATGTTAGACTTATATCGAGGTTCCCCCCCCCCAGGGTCAAATTACTGACCCTCCCCAGGATGCAGCCCCACAACAAGCTGAATAACACCTGGGTACCTAATTACTGCTAGGTGAACAGTGGCATTAGATGATAGGAAATGCGCCCAATCATTTCAGTCCCACTCAGGATTTGAACCTGTAATTCTTGATTGTAAGTCGAGAAGGAACCCAACTGTACTACCGGGACCCCCAAATCTTGGGTATGCTATTACTCTTATCTTGGGTAATAGCATACAAGAATTCATACAGTTGAAGAAGCTAGCAACTAGTGGGTTATCAGGCTGGCATACCTAGAGCATATCTAGAGAGGGTTCTGGGAGCCCTTCTACTAGGCCAGGCTCAACTTGTGATTACTTGGTCCAACCTGAGGCCAGGCTCAACTTGTGATTACTTGGTCCAACAGGCTATTGCTTGGAGAGGCCCACAGGCCCACCTATCCAGTACAGCATGGTTGGTCCAGCAACTTCTTGCAAAAACTTATCTAAGTGCCTCTTGAATACATCCATCTTTGCTCCAGCAATATTTCTAATGCTTGCTGGGAAAGTGTTGAACAGCTGTAGACCTCTGATGTTCAGATAGCACTCTCTACTCTTCACTGGTTCAATTTTGCATTTCCTTCCATATCTTTTGTTCCAGTATGTTGTTATTCTATTGTGCAAATTTGGGAACTGGCCCTCAAGTATCTTCCATGTACATATTATTTGATATCTCTCTCGTCTCTTTTCCAAAGAGTACATTTTGAGAGTTTTGAGACGGTCCCAATAATTAAGATGTTTTATCATTTCTATGCATGCTGTATATGCTTTCTGTATTCCCTCTAATTCAGAGATCTCACCCGCTCTGAAAGGGAAAGTACGTACTGAGCAATACTCAAGATGGGACAGCACCAGTGATTTAAATAGTATTAGCATTGCTGTGGGGTCTCTGGATTTAAACGGTCTCATATTCCATCATATAATTTTCCTGGCCGCTGCTATAATTGCACGGTTATATTCACTAAATGTCAGGTTGTCAGACATAATTCCCACATCTTTTACATGTTGCTTTCCTTCTACGATTGTGTCTGATGGTTTCCTGTACCCTGTGTTTCATTTAACTTCCTCATTTTCACCATACCTAAGTACTTGGAACTTGGAACTGTTAAACATCATGTTATTTTCAGTTGCCCAATTAAAGACATTATTAATATCTGCCAGCAGTTTTTCAGTGTCTTCTACAGAGGAAATTTCTATGCTGATTTTTGTATCATCTGCAAAAGATGACAAGTTAGTGCAACTGGTCTATAATTTTTTGCCAAAGCTTTACTACCTCAATTGTGCAGAGGGGCTATCTCTGCAGATTTAAGTGCTGCTGGTATCTCCCCTGTATCCAGACCCTTTCTTCATATTACATCAAGTGCTCACGTTACTGGTACTTTACATTTCTTTATGAATATTGAATTCCATGCGTCAGGACCAGAGGCTAAGTGCATGGACATGTTGTCAATTTCTCTTTCAAAGTCTTCTGAGTTCGTGTTAATATCCGTTATATTATCTAAAGCTTGGATGTCATTTATAAAGAAACTGTCTGGATCTTCTACCTAGATACTGGCATTATGCCCGAAACGCTTTGCGTAATAGTGGCTTTAGGCATTGTATGTACTAGCTCTACCTATAAGTCAACCAATCTTTGTAAAAATTTACTTTATGTATGTACCTTACCTAAATAAACATTTTATTTTTATTTTTTTTTATCTCTGACATACTAAAAACAGCAGAGATAGCACCACTCCATAAAGGCAGAAATAAGACATAGGCAAAAAATTACAGACTGATAACACTAACATCACACATCATAAAATTCTTTGAGAGAGTGCTAAGAAGTAGGATCACAAAATACATGGAATCACATCATCTCCATAACCCCGGACAACATGGTTTCAGAACAGGGTGCTCTTGCCTGTCACAGTTGCTGGACCAGTATGACATGGCATTAGATGCCATAGAAGACAAACAAAATGCTGATGTAATCTACACAGATTTCACAAAAGCCTTCGACAAATGTGACCATGGTGCTATTGCACATAAAATGTGTTTAAAGGAATTACCAGAAAAATAGCAGATGGATCTACAATTTCCTGACTAACAGAACCCAATGTGTAATAGTCAACAAAATAAAACCGGTCTATCAACCATGAAGAGCTCAGTCCCCCAGGGTACTGTGCTTGCTCCAGTACTTTTTCTCATCCTCATATCAGACATACACAAAGACACAATCTATAGTACTGTATCATCCTTTACAGATGACACTAGGATTTTTATGAGAGTAGACAACATAGGACACGTCAAACCTCCAATCAGAAGTAAATCAGGTCTTTCTATGGGCTACTGAAAATAATCTGGTGTTTAACGAAGATAAGTTTCAGCTCATGCGCAACAGAAAAAATGAAAATATAAAAACGGAAACTCACGTACAAAACACAGTCAAATCATAACATAGAACGAAAAGGCAATGTAAAAGATTTGGGTGTACTCATGTCGGAAGACCTTACCTTTAACCCTTGGGCCACTAAGGGTCATAAATGGCTTCAACACCTACAGGAGCTACAAAAAAAAAAAAAATAAAAAAAATTCTTTCATCTTATAAAAGTGTTTATTTGTGTTCCCTGATCACAGAAAAAATCACAAAAAAATTGTAGATGGCATATTTTAGCTGCAATAGGGTAGGGAAATCTGGCAAAAAACCAGCATTGAATGTAATGGAACGCCATTTTCTGGGTGAGACCCGGAGGCTTCCCGGACCTATACCAGGCTGATATGCTAATGTCAGACTTTGGCATCAGTCATGTGTATGGAGTTCTAAGGGCCTACCGGGGACCACGGCCAGAACCTGGCCCCCTCAGAGAGGCAAGGGAAGCAATGGCCTATAGAAACCCCCATGTGGTTGGAAGCATTCCATATCTGCCATCGACCGGGTCAAACATCCAGAAAGGTAAACATCCAGAAAGGTAAGCATCCCAAAACAAACCCCTATTCTGGTAAAAATTGCTACCAAAAGCCGAACTAGTGGATAGAACTCCCCAACAGAAAACAAGTAAACAAGTATGACGTCACACGTCACCGCGCCTTTGTCTGTGCAGCTCCCCCCTCCCTGGGAGGGGCAAGGGGGAGCCTCAGACCTCTCACGCTGGCTATCCACCCATCAGTTCTATCCAACCCCAAACACTCGGGGCGGCTAAATGCCAAGCAGCAAGAGGCCAACAGAGGTAGACCCAAGGAGACTTGTGGAAGGCAACCCCAAGCCCCAAGGGTGGTACTTACAGGGCACTCAGGGAAGGTGACCCTAAGCACATGCAGCCCGAGTACCTGAGAATACTACTTCCAGCTCACACTACCACCGTAAGAGCAGCACTGAAAACAAGTCACAGCCCTGAGACAAGACTGGAGCTGGAGCCATACGTCCATGGACGATCCCATCAGCCGAGGAACTGGGACGAGGATCGCTGGCTCAGGGGTCTGGGACTCCCCCTTTCCCCTCCCAGGAAGGGGGAGCTGCGCAGACATGCGGCGCGACTCGTGTGATGTCATGCTTGTTTGCTCGTTTTTCTTTTGGGGAGTTTTGTCCACTTGTTTGTAGATTTTTGTTGATAACCAGAACAGGGGTTTGTTTTGTGGTCTTACCTTTCTGGGTGCCTGTCCCGGTCGATGGCAGATATAGAATGCTCCAAATCACATGTGCCCCCGTTGAAAAGTGGAGGTGCAACAGGTACTCTGAGAGAGAACTCTATCAACATCAGAGGCCCGAGACTGTTCAACACGCTTCCGCTACACATAAGGGGCATAACTGGCAATCCCCTCACAGTGTTCAAGAGAGAACTGGATAAGCACCTCCAAAGGATACTTGATCAACCAGGCTGTGACTCATACGTCAGGCTGCGAACAGCCGCGTCCAACAGCCTGGTTGATCAGTCCAGCAACCAGGAGGCCTGGTCGACGACCGGGCCGCGGGGACGCTAAGCCCCGGAAGCACCTCAAGGTAACCTTAAGGTAAGGTATGGGTCATTGCTCCCCGTGCCTCTGTGAGGGGGCCAGGTTCTGTGGTCCTCGGTAGGCTAGAACTCCACCCACATCGACTGATGCAAAATAGTTAGGGTATCCATATCAGCCATGGATAGCTCCGGGGAGCCGTAGGGGCTCCCCTCAGAAAAGTTTCTGAAACTGTTGGCATTCTTTCTAAGATCAGATGTTATGTACCTCACCCTGCCCTGGTGATGCTCTATTACTCTCTCATCTATCCTTATCTCAATTATGGTATTTGTGCTTGGGGTTCAACTACACAAAATCATTTACGTCCTCTAATTATTCAACACAAAGCTGCTATTAGAACAATATCTAACTCTGGTCCCAGACAGCACTCGGTACCCTTAGTCAAATCTTTGAATATGTTAGATATTAAGTCATTGCACATCCTCTCATGCATACTCTATATATTTAAAACTCTGAACTGCAATGTCAATCTTGACCTTAGAAGCTTCCTAGAAGGTTGTAACAGAACTCATGGGCATCTCACCAGAAACAAATATCTATTTGATATTCCAAGAGTGCGACTTAACCAAACTAGAAATGCTCTACAAATCAAGGGACGCAGAATGTAGAATGGT